ACTTTATTTTCCCATTTTCTCATGTTCTCTCTCTCTGAGGCAGAACTGCACTGTTCTGTGAGCCCACTGTTCTAGACAGGCTTGTGGATCTCAAGGTATGTGGAAAATGCTGATTGGCTCTGTTCCTAAATTTCCCAGCTTCTGACTGGTGCACAGTTAGTAAAGGAAGAGTTCTTTTAATTTGAGAAATGTGCTGGGCATGGTGGCTCATGCCTGTAATCCAAGCACTTTGGGAGGCCGAGGCAGCAGATCACCTGAGGTCAGGAGTTTAAGACCAGTTTGGCCTACATGGCGAAATCCCATCTCTACTAAAAATCCAAAAATTAGCCGGGCATGGTGTCAGGTGCCTGTAATCCCAGCTGCTCCAGAGGCTGAGGCAGGGAGAATTGCTTGAACCTCGGAGGTGGAGGTTGCAGTTAGCCAAGACTGTGCCACTGCACTCCAGCCTGTGCTACAGAGTGAGACTCTGTCTCAAAAAAAAAAAAAAAGATGTGAAGATTTCTCTCACCCCCACTCCCACTGCCCTGTCCCTGTACCCCCAACTCCATTTATATGCTGTGAGGTTTCCTGCCCACCGTCCACAGAGACCCTTGTCAACACAGCTGGTGCACCTCAGCTGGGAACGTGTCTCAATGTCTTTAAACTTCTCAGAAGTCTCAGTTTTATCCCTATTAACACACCCAGTAGTGGAAACAGCAGAAATTGCTCTTCTTTTGTAAAGAGAGTTGTGTTTCAGAGAGTTGTTTGTTTGAAATGTAATTTCTTCAGCTCATTATGTCAAAACTGGCATTTGAAGCATACATGACTCTTGCCTTTTGTATTTGGATTCTTCAGGGAAACAGAATCAATAGGGGGTGTGTGTGTGTGTATGTGTGTGTGTGTGTTTGTGTGTGTGGAGAGATAGCTGGGGGGGGAGAGAGAGAGAGAGAGAGAGAGAGAGAGAGAGAGAGAGAGAGAGAGACAGGCTTATTGTAAGGAATCAACTGATGTGATTATGGAGGCTGACAGGTCCCAGGATCTGCCATCTGTAAGCTGGAGACCCAGGAGGGCTGGTGGTATAAGGTCCAGCCTAAATGCAGACAAGCTGCAGAATCACAAAGAGCCGATGTTTCAGTTTGTGTCCCAAGGCAGGAAAAACTGATGTCCGAGTTGGAAGGCAGTTAGACAGGAGGAGTTCTCCTACTCCCTGAGGGAAGGCTCTGTTTTTTTATTCTATTCAAGCCTTCAACTGCGTGGATGGGGCCCATGCACATTAGGGAGGGCCATCTGCTGTACTCAGAGCCCGTTGCTTCCACTGTTAATCTCATCTAGGGCCATCCTCGCAGACAGTGTGACCAAACGTCTGTGCACCCTGTGGCCCACTCAAGTTGTCATAAAGCATTAGCCATCACACCTTTGGTATATAATCTTGGGATTTTTTATTTTCTGGGGTTGCTTGGCTCAGAGGCTGGCATTAAAGCATCATGGGCCACAGTGTTCTAGATGCTAGTGTAGTTTTCTTCCTTCTCCCATGGGTTGGTGTTCAAGGGCCTTATTTTAGCTCAGCAGGCTAATTTTCTTATTGTAAGACTCTATACGTGAACAATAAGATTATAGAGAAGGAAGGTGGTTTTATAGGTTCCGGGGATTCACTCCCACAAGGCAGGGCCAGGGCTGAAGTCAGAGTCTCCAGAGCCTTCTCCCAGGGTCAGCCATCAGTCCTGCCCCAGGGCCAATGACTACATGAGGCATCAAGTTCCAAGTATACAATGAGGTTTGCGAATCCAATTTTGCATTTTCTGGGCTTTGCGATGCCTGAAAAAGAGTCACAAACATGACTATGACTCCTCAGCCTGAAGCCATCTGGGTGTGTCCTTTTGAAGGTCCACAGGGGACTTTCTCATGTCCTTGGGTTTGCAGGACATTTCCTTTTCTACTGTTCCAGGTGCTTGTTCAGCTGCGTGTCAGAAATGGACAGTCCAGCCTTGCCCCTTTGCAGAAGCCAAGCTTTCCTGCCAGATAGCCACAGCTTGTCCGGACAGAGATTTAGGGCTGTCTTCCCGAGAAAGGCGTGTAGATCAGGAGTTTGACCCTAGACTCAGAGGTTTGAGGATGGGTGGTTTTTCTTGTGGTTTTGTCTTGGATTGCTTGTGGCATTTGGATCCACTTCTGGGCTTAAATTTCCCCCTTCCAGTGTTGAGATGGAATTGGTCCAGGATCATAAGTCATCCAGAGCAGAATGCAGAGATTTATTTTACTCCTTTGGAGGGAGGTGGAGAGAAGAATCTCTTGGGGGAGAGAATGTGAATCCAACTGTTTATAAAGTTAGCATTTAAGTCCCACACAAAGCTTGCTTCCTAAATACTGTTGTCCCAAGGCTATTGGCAAGGTGACTGGCTGTATGCCCCTTTGGTTTATCCTCTTACCACCAGGCTTGGTATTTGCACAATGCTTTATCCTGTGTTCAGAATCCAGGTAGATTCACACCCATGCCTGTGCGCGTGCGTGCGTGTGTGTGTGTGTGTATGCACCTGTGATGAAAGCAGAGAGGAAAAATGCTGTGTGATGAGGCTTGGGTGTCATCAGACTTTACAGCTGATTTTTCCCCCTTCCAAAATCCTACTCCTTTTCTTTACGCAAGGAAACATGAGAAGTGGGTGCTATGGGTTGTGTAGGTTGCTTTATGCCAGAGACATGATGTGACACTTTGGTAAACCATGTTTTTGGTAAATCCTATCAGTTAAGACAAGACCAAGTTGCTGTTGCTAAGAAATTTTTAGAAAGCCTGAAAGTGAAGTTCTGTTTTCATTCATTTTGCCAACTTACTGGAGAGTTTCTCTGTGCCGAAGACAAGAGATCTCGCATGCGTCTTTCATGTGGTCTCCACTCAGGAATAGCTTACAGTCAGCAAGAAGAATGTGTAGGGAACCTGATTCTTCAGTGCCCTGTTTATGACTTTCTGGGTTGGCTGGTTTCTCATAGACAGTATTAAATATTCTGAAAAAGGAGGGACATCAGTGAATACAAAGCAATTAGGAAAAAGTTCAAGAGAGTGGAGGAACAAACACAAAGAACGTTAATCATCACACTAATAGTGTTATTCCCAGTGGCATCCTAGACCTTCTAGCCATGTTCTGATACATATCGCAGCCTTTGTGCAGAGAGTCTTAGGCTAGAGGCTGAAGTGGCTTTTGTCAGTGCTTTCCCTGCAGCCCACGGTGACTCTCTACCATCCTAAAGGTAAAAACATAGTGTTAGGTCTGGCCTGGTAGCCCATGCCTGTCATCCCAGCACTCTGAGAGGCTGAGGCGGGAGGATCACTTGAGTTCAGGAGTTCAAGACCAGCCTGGGCAACATAACAAGACCTCATTTCTACTACAGATAGAAAAAAATCCAGCCAGGTTTGGAGGCATGTGCCTGTGGTCCCAGCTTCTCAGGAAGCTGAGGTGAAAGGATTGCTTAAGCCTGGGAGGTTGAGTGCACTACTGCACTCCAGCCTAGGTGATAGAATACGACCCTGTCATTTTATTTTATTTTATTTTATATATTTTATTTTATTTTATTTTATTTTGAGACGGAGTCTCATTCTGTCGCCGGCTGCAGTGCAGTGGTGCGGTCTCAGCTCACTGCAGCCTCTGCCTCCCAGCTTAAGCGATTCTCCTGCCTTGCCTCCTGAGTAGCTGGGACTGCAGGCGCTTGCCACCATGACCAGCTAATTTTTGTATTTTTAGTAGAGACGGGGTTTCACCATATTAGCCAGGATGGTCTCAATCTCCTGACCTCGTGATCTGCCTGCCTGTAATCCTCCCACACCTAGGATTACAGGTGTGAGCCACCACACCCAGCTGAGAGCCTGTCTTTAAAACACAAAACAAAACAAGGAAACAAAACCAGAACACTGTAGTGTTGTAACCATTTTCCTCATGAATCCTCATGATGGAAACAAAATTGACTCATTGTCACAAGCCCTTGACCTAGGAGAAACGATGTGGCGTATTTAACTGCTCTTTATCATCCCTAATAGTGATTTTGCCAGGAGCCTGCTGTGTGCAGGCATAACTGCATCATCTCATGCAGTTCTCCCTCACCTGTGAGGAAGACTTTTCCTATCCAATGTGGTTTGTGAGGGAAGGAAGCTCAGGGAGGTGAACTGACTTGCCCCTGATCACACAAGCACAGAGCAGCCCGTTTCTGACTGAGCTCTCCCCTGACTGGCCTGTAGGGCGGCACCCTCAAGCATCAGGCTGTGACAAACCTGGTCCTCATTGGACATCTTGATCTTTGGGGTTTTTTCTAAAAGCATGAATTTTGCCTTCTTAAAATACTGCGTTTGTGGCTGGGCGCCGTGGCTCACGCCTGTAATCCTAGCACTTTGGGAGGGTGAGGTGGGTGGATCACGAGGTCAGGAGATGGAGACCATCCTGGCTAACACAGCGAAACTCCTTCTCTATGAAAAATAAAAAAAAAAAAATTAGCTGGGTGTGGTGGCGGGTGCCTGGGACTCGGGACGCTGAGGCAGGAGAATGGCGTGAACCTGGGAGAGGCGGAACTTGCAGTGAGCCGATATCGCGCCACTGCACTCAAGCCTGGGAGACAGAGTAAGACTCCGTCTCAAAAAAAAAAAAAAAAAAAAAAAAAAAAAAAATATATATATATATATATATATATATATATATATATATATATAGCATTTGTGTATTCTTTATCTTGCTTACTGAGTTTTTAGTGCTCAGGCCAGGGACCTCTGCTTTAAGGGTTAGCAAGGCCAGTCACTCACTTGAGGTCCCATGATCATAAGTGGGTTAGCAGGGCGTTCACCGAATCTGCTGGGAGTGGTCTCAGCAGCCAGGCTGAAGGCAGCAGCATGGTTTGCCTTCTGTCAGATCCTCATGCTCTCAGACAGAGGAAGGAAACCTGACTTAACACCAGCTGCTAAGTTGCTGTCAGGTCCTCTGGGGCTTGGGCCCAATGACTCTTTCTCTCCCAGCTGTGTTCTCATGAATGTGCTGCTTCTCCTGCAGGTCAGGAAAGAGGTTAAAGAAGACCCGCAAGTATGATATCATCACCACTCCAGCTGAGCGAGTGGAAATGGCGCCACTAAATGAAGAGGATGATGAGGATGAGGACTCCACAGTATTCGATATCAAATACAGGTACAGGGTGGAGACAGAGGCTTCCTCCTGGGCTTGGGGCAGTGGGTTGGTGGGACCTCAAGGTCAGGCATGATGTTCATGTGTTCTTATTTTTTGGTTAAGTGTTGGGCCCTGGGGTGTTCTGCACATGGAGAGATGTGCTCCGATCTTGTATTAGTCCATTTTCGTGCTGCTAATAAAGACATACCTGGGACTAGGTAATTTATAAGGAGAAACTTAATTGACTCACATTTCCACATGGCTGCAGAGGCCTCACAATCATGGTGGAAGGCAAGGAGTAGCAAAGTCACATCTTACATGGATGATGGCAGGCAAGAGAGCTTGTGAAGGGGAATTCCCCCTTATAAAACCATCAGATCTTTTGAGACTTATGCACTGTCAGGACTAGAGCAGCACGGGAAGACCCATCCCCATGATTCAATTACCTACCAAGTCCCTCCCACAATACGTGGGAGTTGTGGTAGCTACAATTCAAGATGAGATTTGGGTGGAGACACAGCCAAAGCATATCAGATCCCTTCCTAGAACACATTGCACCTGGAAACCCAGCAGAGAATTGCTTATTTATTGCTTTTCCCAAATGAGAACATGGTCACCTTTAAAGAAGGAAAAGGAGGATTGTGCTTCAGACAACAAGCTAGATGTCCACTGGCTGTGGGGGTCCGGCCCAAGCAGCCATGTGTGCCACACACCAGGCACCCGAACAGAAACTTATCTTTCAGCCTCACTTATGTCAATAGCTGAGGATGTGGGTGACCGGGTGGGTGGCATTCCTGCCTGGATGGAGTTTACCGATGAGCTCCAAAGGCAGGTGGCTTTGTGACTTTAGGATTGTAGTGTGGGTTTTCAGATCATTTTGAGGTGTACTTTGAATATGTGAGCTTCTTAATGGAAGAGGTGAGGATGAGCATAGTTTTGAGACGAGGGCTCGAAGATCCAGAGAAGGGGCATTGCTTGACCAAAGTCCCAATTAGTAGTAAAAGTGGAATAGAAATGCAGGCCTGTCCCTGTCTGGGCTCCCCACATTCCGTGGCTTCTGCATGTCCGGGAAGGCAAGCCTTCCACACCTGTGTTCCTCAGCACAGCCTTGGCGGTCCTCAGCCCTTCTGCATAAATCAGTTGTCAGATTCAACAAGACAAATGTTTGGGATTTTGATTGGAACTGCATTGCCTGTAGATCAATTTAGGGAGAATCAGCACTTTTACGTTGACTTTTCCAATCCATGAATAGAGAATGGATTTTCCATTTATTAGGTATTTAAAAAAATGTTTTTCAGTACTTTCAAAAATTTACGTATAAACGTTTTATACATTTTTATTAGATATATTCTCACAGGTGTTTTACATTTTGATATGTAAATTTTTTACTTTAAAGTACTATTTTATTTATACTCATATCTGGAAAAAAGACTGTATTATCACGTTTACATACATACTAGTTTTGGAAGCTGAGTTTGTTAGTGAATCACACCTAAATCTTATGAAGAACTTGAAAGCATTAAAATGGATTGGTTATGGATAGCAGAATGGGAGAAAAATCCCCTTAGCTGTAATTTGCATTTTAGGTAAAGGGCAGCACCCTTTGAAAATAATCAACTCAATTGGTAATATTTATCCATACCACAAAATAATGCACAGTTAGCCCTCTGTACCTGAGGGTTCCACATCTGCAGGCTCAACCAACCACAAATTGAAAATATTTGGGATCGGGCATGGTGGCTCATGCTTGTAGTCTCAGTACTTTGAGAGGCCGAAGAGTGCAGATCTCTTGAGCTCTGGAGTTTGAGACCAGCCTGGACCACATGGTGAAACCCCACCTCTACACAAAAAAATAATGCAAAAATTAGCCAGGCATGGTGGTGCATGCCTGTAGTCCCAGCTACTTGGGAGACTGAGGTGGGAGGATCACTGGAGCCTGGGAGGTCAAGGCTGCAGTGAGCCGTGAGCATGCCACTGCACTCCAGCCTGGGCAACAGAGCAAGGCCCTGTCTTAAAAAAAAAAAAAGAAAAAAGAAAATTTTGGGAAAAAAACAATACAACAGTGAAAATAATGCAAATCCAAAAAACAATATAGTATAACAACTATTTACCTCGTGTTTACATTGTATTAGGTATTAGGAATAATCTAGAGATGATTTAAAGTATACTAAAGAATGTGCATAGGATACATGCAAATACTATACCATTTTATATAAAAGACTTGAGCATCTGTGGATTTGGGTCTTTGCAGGAGGTCTTGGAACCAATTCTCTGAGGATACCAAGGGACGACTGTGTACATAGGAAAGTTAGTGACTCTATTGATTTTATCGCTAAGCCATTTTATCTGTCTCACACTCAATACAAAGAAGTAAAATATAATGTGAAGAAAACCATGTCCTCATCACTATTCACAGTCAAGAGTCCACTTCCTCCTGCAGGGCTGGGAATATTGTACAATAGGGAGCATTTAATGGTTCAAGTGGATCAATGTAGTGTTTTGATTCTGAGCCGCTGAACAGCATCTCATCAATCTTTGGTGACTGAGTTAACTCCATGGGAACCATGATAGACGGAATGATTTTTGTGGTATCTCCACATCCCACTAAATAAGAGAAGGCCCTAAACAAAGAAATATAACAATCAATCTGCTCAGAAATTCTCTTTATAGACTGTTTCCTAGAAGGTGGGAAAACGAGCCTTTCCCTGAGGGCATAGACATCCGTATTATTGTGGCCTGGTTGCTGGACTGACATTGTGTCTGGTATGATGAAGATAAGGCACACATTGAAACCAGTGTCAGATTAAGAAACTTCCACAGCTTGTCTCAGTTCTTCAAACAATGGAGTGAGTTCCTTTCCTAGGCTGACAATGAGTGCCATATTGGCACTGCTGCTGGCTGTGAAACAAACTAACTACTAAAGGTAAACTACTAAAGGTAAACCACCTGGTGGGTATTAAAGCTAACAGACAAGTCCAAGCTTGTGTTTTGAAAGTCCAGGTTGGCTTGCTGGCTGGCGTGTTGCAAGGGCAAAAGTAAGTGAGACCCCTGGTCTCCAGGCATGCTCTGGGTCATTTTCGTTGGCCACTTTAATGATGTGCATTCCATCTCTATCTGACACAGCAATAGTGTGGGACCCATCAACACTTGGTGTTTTTTTTTTTTTTTTTGAGATGGAATCTTTCTCTGTCACCCAGGCCAGAGTGCAGTGGCACCATCTTGGCTCACCGCAACCTCCGCCTCTCAGGTTCAAGCGATTCTCCTGCCTCAGCCTCCTGAGTAGCTGCGACTACAGGCATGTACCACCATGCCCAGCTAATTTTTTGTATTTTTAGTGGTGATGGGGTTTCACCATGTTGGCCAAGATGGTCTAAATCTCTTGACCTCGTGATCCACCCGCCTTGCCCTCCCAAAGTGCTGAGATTACAGGTGTGAGCCATGGCACCTGGCCAACACTTGGTGGTTTTCAATACAGGAATAGTGTTAGCTCCCTGAAGCACCTTAGTGGTGTCTCCTCTGCCCCTATTCTAGGCAGAAACTCTGGACCCTGCAGATCCCTCTGTATTAGTTTCCCGCTCCAGACCATCAGCCTTAAAGAACCCCTTTGCCCCACCGATCAATCTCCATGCCTGGGTTTCTGCTTCCGGGGCTGCCAGGTTCTCTCTGCTGTCATTCTGGGGACAGTGTCAAAAGCAGATTTCTCTGCAAGCCGCCACCTCATGATTCATGACTTTGTCTCTGATGTCTCTTAAAAAATATTATCTTTAAACTTTTTGTTTATTGCAGTTATTTTTAAAAGAGACTGATTTTTTAACAAAAATCCAGCAACCTTGCTAAACTTTTATTAATTCTTGTAGGATAAATGTGGAATCTTTGGGTTTTCTGTGTAGATATGTCATCTGGGACTAAGAAGAGTCCCTGTCCCTGCTCCCAAGTCCTTAAACGTTTTATCTCTTCTTTTGCCTTTTCTGCTTTCCTTCCTTGAGAAGTTTGTGCTGTTTGTGGTTGAAATAAAATCAGAATGTGAGTGAACTTGGAGGTGAGTCACTAGACACAAGCCACTGCAGTCCTCAGGCCTAAAGATGACTGACTGTTTAGAAAGACTAAGTAGTGCTGGCTTTTCTTATTACAGAGGTAATGTTAAGCTGTAGAAAATACAGATAATAAACAGGAAAGATACAATTACTTATCATCTCACTACTTACCAGTAACCACTAGAGTGTGTGTGAGTACATATATGTGGAACTTTCTTTTTTATAGAAAGAAGACTGTATTATACACGCTGTTTTGGCACGTTTTTCTACCCAAACAATGAATCATGAGCAACTTTTCAGGTCAATAGCTGTGAAAGAACAAAGAGTTTAGGACGTTGCATGTTTGGTTTAATGTTTTTGTGAACTTCTTTGTCTGCACATTGCTAATCTGTTCACAGGTACTTGTTTTTCCCATTTAGACATAACTCAGCCAAATGTTTCAGTTCTCTCTAGGAAACAGACTACATTTAAATCAGATGAATCATGACTTTGGGTTATTTTATGATTGAGTGGAAAGAGGAAAATCACGTTTTTGGCACCAGGGCAGTAAGGCAGAGTAACCTGCTTCTTATTCTTTCCCAGGTAACTCTCTGATAACATCTTGTGACCTAGAGCCTTTGCCTATCAGCCAGGTTTTTTTTTTTTTTTTTCCTCGAAGTTTTCAGCCAGGTAGGAAATGAAGGAGGAATAAGAATACAGGCAGGGTAGGAGATAAGACCGCAAGTGTGTAGGGCCAGAGTGTGGGGAGGGAGGGAGGAGTTCTATAGAAATGAGTCTCTAACTCTGTACTTAAAAAGGCTAATTAGAAGGGAGAAATGATAGCTAACTGGAGTATAAGAGTACCCTGGGGTTTTGAAATGGTTCTATCTTTCAAGAGGCATTTGGGTTTCCGCTGCATGTGTTTTGAGCTTTGTTGCCTAGTGTGCAGTTGTGTGGATGCTCTGGGCCTCTTTGCATTCCCGGTTTATTACAGGAGACTTTGTTATC